AAGATATATTTTGCAAAGTTTTTTATTTGATAGGACTAATTCCTTAAAAACAAACATTCAAAAACTAAAAAACGACCACATCTTCAAAACATGCCTGCTTTTTATATATTTAACGTTTTTTTTTTTTCATTAAAAAATTAAAAAATATATTCTGTAAGTCCTTTTAAAAGGACGTATTTCAGTGCAAAATTTTGAAAGATAGCTGTCGTAGAAAATCTTTCACATCATGCCTCTCAAATATCTTCATTATTATCCGGAACCAAAGGATTTTAAGCAAATATAAATCTTTACTTAACTCGAAATGCCATTACAGCTCAATTTCAGGTGAGACGGGGGCGTTATCGGAAGGATAGTATGTTTTGGGTAAACAGATTGAAAATCCCTTCCAACACCCCCGCCCCAGACATTTCCACCTCTGATTTCCACGGACGAATCAAGGTCTACCTGAGAATAAACGACGCGTGTGTCTCGCATTAAAATGATGTCTTGTTGACGGACATATCTGGCAAGGACGAACCCCGAGAGGCAGGACGAATACAAATACGAGTGCGAGGACGAAGGCGAAGACGAAGGCTCACGCGACTCGACTTGGTCCGAGTCGACTGTTTATGGATAGTAAATACACCGTGTCATGGGTCCTTAAGCGTCTTAATTGCCCGCGTATCCTTCGTCGACTAGCAGCGCAATTGGTTTCCAAGGTGGAAATATTATTGGCACATCATAAAACTATAAAACAGCCCGCAGGGGGCCCCCTCCTCCTCGTCGTTTCTCCTTTCCATTCCCTTCCACTCCGTCCAGCTCAGTTCAGATCCAGAGCCAGGCTATCGAGAATTTCCTTTCCGTCCAATGCCATCAGCGAATTCGTCGAATTCCGAGGAGCGCGCGCGACTTCGATTCCCCGGCGTACGACTCGTCGATGGAATCGCATTGACGGTTTACGGCGAACTCCCCGGAGACCTATGTCCCAATCATTGTTAATGGACTCCGTCCTTATTAGTCGTTGATATCCCACGAAGCAGAATTCCACGCCCTGCGACGAGGACATCATCTTACTCGTGTGCTGAAATCTGCAATTCCAAATGACAGACCGTTTGCTAATAAATTATCAATATGGTTTGTAAATGATTTGTCAAGTAAACTATTAATTTTATTTGTAAATTTTACTATTAATTATAAAACTTATATTTAAAAGTAAGAAAGCAGTAATCACATTCAAGATAAGGGGACGGTTTTTGTCAAAATAAGTAGAAGGCATATTCAGGAAATTAAAATGTGATACCTCAGTTACCTTATTTAGTTAGATTAGAAGTTTAGTAAGCCTTAAAATAAATAGTAGAAAAATAGTAAAAAATAATAAAAAATCATAGTAATTTTTAAGACCCTTAAAAATAAAGTAATTTTTTATAAAATGAGTAAACATAAACTGCCTGCTAAAAAGAACATCTATCTTGTGCGCTCAGTCGGGAAGGCTGACATAGAAGGTGTTAACGTGGCCCTAACTGAGAGCTGGACAATTCGAAATTTATTTTTTAGGCCATTAATGGGTCCATTGCGATGCATAATTCCCATTTCATTCAGTTTACGAGGTCATCATCTCTATTGAAGAGCGGCACAACAATGCGAATAAGTGTGACAGGAGCAATTATAGCCTGATCCTGATGCGATGTCAACACAACAGAGCTCGAAGACATCGGCAGGCAGACATTGACATTGAGCCCAGGACGTGCAGGATATCGCACAGAAGCCAAGGACACAGGCGACGCGTGACGCATTGGGAAAATATTTGTACAAAACATTGAGAAGTTCTGAAAAGGAGCACAGCATACCGGCATCCTTGACTTTGATTGGTACGGATTCTGGCTGCCCAAGGTCGGACTTGATGAGATGACCTTGAGTGGGCCACCGATCGAGGGTCCTTGAAGCAGTATCCTGTCTGGCTTTCTCTTGGACTCGAATGAGGCATGCCAAATGAAGTTTTCTAGCCGTAGATTGCTTCATCGAGCATCGGACATCTGGCGGATTGATTTACCCCGAGGGAGGGTGATCGGTGCAATTCGATTGTTAAATCAAACAAATCGCATAACGCACACCAAAATTTTAAATAATTCTCGAGCATCGCTCACTAATTAGCCGCCGATTGAGGCAATCACATTGATTGCTCCAAGGAAAACCTCACGCTGGGTCCGTCTTAGACGGATTGACGCTGATGCTATATATAGCCAGATATCGGGCCCGGGGGCACGGGGAACTTACACCACTCGCTGTTGTTTGTTTTGTTTGTTGATAATTTTTCTCAGCCCTTTACGGTTTTATACACAGCGGGTCGTCGCCTGTTTCACTCCGATAATGATTGCGATCTATTCGATTGTTTTTTTATCTCTCCCCACGTATGGGTATACGCGTATAATGAGCCATCCCCCAATGGGGAGATCACCATCTACTTCAAAGGAAATCCAGTCCCAGCATGTGACCATCGTAGTTCCACTCAAGCTAGGAAAACAAACAAAAATCGGGACTAACGGCAACTGGAGTATCCGTGTGGACTAGTATCTTATGTAATGGCGAGATTTGTAGTTTTAGTCGAAAAGCTTTTGAAGTCGGAAATATTAATGATCTTGGAGCAGCAGGTTCGCCAATCCATAAACCAATTAAAGAAAACAATACTTCCTATATTGCGTAAACAGTTTGGAAGTTTGTACTGAACTTGGAAGTATCTTTTTGTGTGTTTGAGATGTGCATTTTGGAAAAGTTTCATTTAAGTTTTTTTTTGGAAGAATCTGAACTATTTAGCTCAACCGCCCATCCTAATGATTTTGGTCACCAAGGACTTGCTTGACCAACGGCAGCTGATGGTTGGACTTTTGATGACAATAATGATGCACGGCAGAGGGCTGGGAATTAACACATTCGCCTCCTCCAGGCGCGTGCCTGTTCCACGTTCCCGTGCATTTATCAATATTTCGGCCGACCCACCGACCGGGCCATCGGACCCGTCTAACCCTCATGGAAGTGCCAAAAATGTGCAACGCCGTCTGCGGAAGGAAAGGAGGAGGAACTGAACAGGGAAGGGAAGGGAAGGGAGCAGGACATCCAGCTACTCAGGCACAATGGGATGTTCCCGATTCACTGTCAAGGTAATTTATTAATTCGACAATAAAAACGCACGAATTCTTGGGTTCAGACTCGGATTCACATTCGTTTGGATTTGGGTTCTGAGCTTGGGGTGTGTTGTGGTCGGACACTCGCATGTGGGCCTTACAACTCAATTAAAGTTGCCTGGGTCCTGGACGCTGAGCCTGTCGATGTCCTTTGGAGATCCGGGGAGAGTATTTTATGGCCATGTGTTCGGTTAGGGTTAATCTTCATTGACGCATTGATAGAGCTCGATTGGCCGTAAGTGAGAACGTTAAGTGGATTCATAGCACTAAAATGACAATAAAATTTAATTTTTAGACTAATTCTTTAAAATAAATGATGCAAGAGACTGTGGAGTTTTTAAATTATAATTATACACTTGAATAGTTAAACAAGTTTGGAGGAAAGATTATACCACTTGATTATAAAAATGTTTTCTATTAATATACCAATAGTTTGCGAAGATAAAGAAACCATATTTTACTTATAGGACTGTGAATATTATTAAGGATTTATTTGAAGTTCTTAAGAAATAAAAAAATTCATAATAATAGCTCCGTCGTAACCCAAATATTTTTAGAAAATCGTTCTTTATATAGAAGTGCTGTAATATTTATTTTTCAAAGGCATAGTCGACTTCCCTCTCCATATCTGTTGGATTTTGTTAAATTTACTCTAAAACCAGAAACCCGCTGAAATCCATCCACCGGCAATGGAAACCCGAAGGACATCGGGGGGAAGAGCAGTGTTGCAGTCTGGCGGACTGTCGTCTGTCAAACTGAAAAACGCCATAAATTTCCAGCAACAATGGAAGCTGGCAGGACATGGGGGATGGGTTGCCAGGCCAGGGACTGGGGCAGGGGTAGAATTGGCACATGCACAAACTGCACACATATGCCAGGCTATCGATACGTTGGCTAGGGGTGGGCTGAACGGGGGTGGCTGATAGAAGAGAAGTCGCGTTTTCCAGCCGCGTAAGCCGATCAGAAAGTCGTGTAAACACAAAAAGTGGGCGAGCTGGGATTGCTTTTTTAGCAGTCAATTTAGCTGAGCGGCTTTCGGGTGTTGGGCAAACAGAAGGATGCGCTTATGTATGTATATTCAGGAAGGAGTGAGCTGAGGAGCAGGAGTTGCGCACTTGCTGGCCACGAGGGCAAACAAAAAGCGCAAACACGCGACCCTCGCACGCGCAATCGCCATCCTCGGGATCGGACGCAATGTTATCCTTTTTGGGCGGACGGAGCCGCGAAATAAATTCGTAGGGAAAGGGCCCGGCCCGATTCCGGGAACAACTGGCAGCCAGTCCTGACAGAATCTTCGGTTGGCAAAAATCCAGAGAAATTTTTAGGGAATCATAAACGGGGCAGGGAAAAAGCCTTTTGTCGAAGGATCGTTTCAGCAACAGTTTACCGCTTACCGTTTGCAGTTTACAGTTCCTTTTTATGTCTTTATGATTATTGCAATTAGAGTGGGAGGGAAGCTCCGCCGTCCCGCTCGCAGCACCTCATGGGTAGACATCTCATGGACGTAATTACTGGACCAGCGGACCAGCGTCTCAAGGACGCAGGGGAAATTCTCAGCCTCGTCCGGATAACTCGCGATGATAATGGGCGCGATGGGTAGGTAATAAGCAGCACAGCAGGTAGGCTCCGAACGGATAACTCGGCGAGTCCTCCGGATAACTTCCCCTCTCGCTGCCTGCAAGGACATTTCGCAGGGAGGGGTGGTTCGAACAGCGGGCGGCAAAGCGTCATGCGCAGGGATATTTATGCGCTATGACGAGCAGCGTGTGCCGTGCCTCGCAGGACTTTGCTATATATGCAGGATCTGCCGCAGGACCAGCTCATTCGCAAACTCACCAGCGACGCGTTCACATCGCAGAGGTTGCAGTTCACACACAGCAGAAAAGTGCTTCATACATCACAGACATGGCCGCCAACAGCCACTACAACTACTCCACCGAGAACATGAACATGTACAACATGTACCACCACCACCACAGCCTGCCTCCCACCTACTACGACAACGCCTCCGGCAACGGCTACTACCAGGCCAGCTCCAGCTACCAGAGCTACCAGGGCTACTACCCCCAGGAGAACTACTCGGACAACTGCTACTACTACGGCCAGCAGGAACAGGTGCCCCAAGTGCCCGAGGTGCCCCAGGTAACCCAGCAGCCCGCCACCCCCCCGCCCAAGGCCGCCAAGCGCAAGGCCGAAGAAGATGCCGCCTCCATCATTGCCGCCGTCGAGGAGCGCCCCAGCACTCTGCGGGCCCTGCTCATGAATCCCGTGAAGAAACTGAAGTACACCCCCGACTACTTCTACACAACTGTGGAGCAGGTGAAGAAGACGTCCACACCCGCCACCAAAGCCTCCGCCGCCGCTAGCCCCGCCCCCAGCTACGATCAAGAGTACGTGGCAGCCCCCACGCCCAGCACCTCAGAGGACGTCGACTATTTGGATGTCTACTCGCCCCAGTCCGCACAGTCCCAGTCGCTGAAGCTGAAGAATGGCGACTTTGCCACCCCGCCACCAACCACGCCCACCTCCCTGCCGCCCGTCGAAGGACTGAGCACACCACCCCAGTCGCCGGGGGAGAAGTCCTCGTCTGCCTCGTCAGCTGTCAGCCAGGAGATCAATCATCGAATTGTGACAGGCCCGAGCAACGCAAACGATTTCAATTGGTCGCACATCGAGGAAACCTTGGCATCAGGTAAGGATCATCCCCCAACAAAATATGAGTTCCACAAATCAAAACTGGAAACTCAAATTTTGATGAACTCTCGAGAATCTGTCGAACAATAACTAACCAATACTTTCTTTTATTTTTCTCTTCAGATGGCAAAGACTCGAAACGAACCCGTCAGACCTACACCCGCTACCAGACCTTGGAGCTGGAGAAGGAGTTCCACTTCAACCGATACATCACCCGGCGTCGTCGCATCGACATCGCCAATGCCTTGAGCCTGAGTGAGCGACAGATCAAGATCTGGTTCCAGAACCGACGCATGAAGTCCAAGAAGGACCGCACCCTCGAGGGCTCCCCGGAGCACTGCGGTGCGGGCTATGCGGCGTTGCTGCCACCACTGGAGGCCACAGCACCGTACCACCACGGCGGTAACACCAACAACATCAGCACCGCCGTTTCCGCCTCCGCCAACGCCACAGCCGCCTATCCCGCTTACAACCACAGCCACAGCAGTCATGGTTACGGTCTGCTCAATGATTACCCACAGCAGCAGATTGCCCACCAGCAGTACGATCCCTACCCGCAGCAGTACCACCAACAGCAGTGCAGCTACCAGCAGCAGCACCACCAGCACCAGCAGGAGCTGTACCCTCTGCCCTAGGTCCTTTGAGTCGCTAGCCAAGGATCGAAACTCGGCCACAAGAAGCCAACGCACTTCTCTCGGCCATTTGCCGGTGACACGCAAATGCCAAAAGCCGAGGAGGAAGCTGCAAGGATGCGCTGAGTCGCACAGTTGAGCCGCACTCCCTACGGTGCCCAGGACGCTCGGGCACCGCAGGACGAGTGCGCGACAGAGTGCGCAAGTGCCGCGCACAAGAAACTCATAGAGAGAGTAGGAGGGCAAGAGGGAGAGAGAAGGACTCCTTGCTGCGAGCGGAACCCAGTGGCTGGCCATGATGGGTTCTCAGCGATCGATTAGCTGCGGCCACAAACTGGAAAAACACAAGCCAAAACACTATTATGGCCAAAAAGACTTGGAGACTGACACACATAATCGTTTTTGTTTCGGGCCAAGAAGCCTCACTGTACAGTTATACATAGCTAAGATAGAAAATTGTATTAGAAACATATTTATTTTAAAAATATAAAGAAAATCAAAATATTTTATTATAAATCGTAAAAAGTTTTATTTTGGGGAAAATAGTAAAATAAAATGGGGAATAAAACTTATTGAAGCTCTTGACTTTGAAGAGGACTCTGAAAGGCAATAATAGTTGGACTTACTAAGTCCATTTATTTTTAGTAAGAATTAAAATGAGAATAGTAGTACCATCTATGGATATCTCAAAACAAAGAAAAGTATAATATGAAAAGCTTTGACAACTTGAAAAGCCATCTGAAGAAGAAAAACGTTCACCTTAGGACTCCCACTATTTATTATAATTATTAATTATATTTATTTTAAATTTTAACATTTAATTAGCTTTTTTATTGAATGATCAATGTTCTGTAAATGCTAAAGCAGAACTATTTCAAGTCAAACCTCTTGATTTTTATCTGATTAATTTCATTCTTTGATCAACCAATGCATTAACCAATTTTCTATCCAAAAATCAAACGATTCAATGTTGAGCACGAATCGTGCAAATTCGAGCAGCTGCATTTTCTCGCCTTGATCCCTCCGCCCCACGACCCTCGACTGTCTCCTGACTTTTCTACAAAAATGCACTCTTTTTGGCAGAGAAACGTCCCATTTTGGTCGGGCATTTCGGGCCAATCTACCACCACATCCCTTCCGCCTTCCTCCCCTTCGCCGAGTTGGCTCGTCTATTGAAGTGAGACATTGATTGGTCATTTTTCATTGCAGACCCGTGACAGTTATGGGTAGCGCAATGCAAAAGAAAAAGCCGGGTCCGGGTCCGGGTTCGGGTTCGGGTTTGGGTCCTGAGTCGAAATGCACACACATTTTCCTGGGGCATCATTTATTCGACTCATTAGACAAAAGTGGACAGTGGGTGAACTCAGTATGAGCATCTGTGGATTTGGATTTGGGTGCCAAACAGGGAACTCGTAAATAAATCCATAACTTTTTATCTTAAAGGATACTGTACCATACCAATTTATCAACTTTATATCGGTGACTTTAAGCTTCCTTACATTTTTCCTTCATTATTTGTGTATATTTTTTTCCAGATTCATAAAATTCTATTTTTAGGGTTTTCTGAGGTCATTTCATTTTTTAGCCAACATTAAGCAAACATCCTTTAAAAGGATTCATTTTATGAGTTCCCAAAAAGGCAACTCTTTCTTAGCCAACATTAAGCAAACGAATTTGCAGAACTTTTTTATGGTTTTCCTAGAGTCAAATATCCCTTTCTATATATTTTTTTACCAATGCTGTTTGTTTAAAATTCCTAAAAAAAAACGCAAGGAGTAGTAAAATATTTACGTGTAAATGACGAAAGAGTTACGTTAACTCTTGCCTAGTCCTTCCCCGAAGCGCATTCCATGCCGTTTTTTATTCTTTTTATTCGCGTTTTTCTTTATTGGAGAGACCTCGAAGACACTTTCTTAACTCAATCGCGAACCATAAAACCCAGTAATTCGCGGAAGGAGCCTTCGTTGTGGGCGGAATCCTTTTGCAGACCCGGAGCAGTCAAGGCTGCAAAGTCAATCCTTTAGCGTAATCCTTTAAATAGCCAAAATAAAGCCCGCCTTTGTCAAAACAAAGGACCTCGCTCGCAGAATTCGCATTTGCGAATAGGCGGGCCATTGTGTCCACTTAGTCGCACACGGTACCTGCCTCCTCAGGATCGGGTTCGGAATAGCAATCCTTGGGCACGGTTCGTTCGAGAACCCTGTCTTGACCCTATCCTTTCCTTTGCCCAGGACTCAGCCTCAACCATAACGATCGTAAAATTATCCTTTCGCAAACACGAGCACACGGCGAAGGCCTTAAGCCGGCGAAGGAGTTACAAAGTCATAAAAACAAAACACCTTTGTCCGGGCACCATTGTCGGTTGGCGAATTATCCTTTCTGTCGCCGCTGCCGAATCCTTAATCCGCGATATACCTACAAGCAGCCAGAGCAGGACAGCAATATAAACGGTTAGAGGGAGTAATGAAGATTCGCAAATGGCAGGACCCTCGCGAAAGGGGAAGGACACACAGGCCAGAGCTGAAATGGAAAGGCGTACAGGGAATCGAGAGGTAAGCCTTTAGCTGGAAAGGATTACATTACATTATCCTTATGTTTAAGATAAACACGGAGCGTCTAAGCCAAAACATTGGATCAAGCGTGCTATTCGAATTAACTTTGTTGAGCCGGGTTTTAAGTAACCAAAGGAAGTTTTAAGTATTTCCGTAAATTTAAGGATACAATAAAATGAATTACTTATTATGTATTAGGGCTTTAATATTTAGTACTTTATCAAAATAACGCCTTTAAAAATTTTCAAAAATTGAATCTGGTTTTAGTTATTCAAGGTTAGTCCAGGTCTATCCGAAATTAAATCTTTTCAGATACTTTTTTGTTATCATCGAAGACATGTCGTTTAAGATTTGGCGAAGAAAAACCATTTACAGCTCAGGACTAAGTTTATCTTCGATTTGAACTATAATTTTATAAAAATCGATAAATAAAAGTTTTGCTCTATTGTTGCATTTTAACATTAAAACCTTTGCATAATTTTGATTGATTTGATTTGGCCACTTTCATCTTAACAGAGTCTTTGAGGGTTTGATCCACCTTAGGGAGATAGTCATAACTTTTGCAATATGGTACTTGTCAGATTGACAAATATTATGCGTTCCCAATCTTATCTTTTCAAGAAAATTCATTTTTAACTAAAACATGGACTACTAAAATCTGACCCATTTTTCGCAATTTTTCATAGGGATAATCAATAATGAATCATGATTTTGGCCAAAAATGAACCCAAAATATTATGTCTTGAATTTTACAATATTTGAATGCAGTTTAAAGCTACTTGAACCCCTGATTCTTAAATGGTATTCCTTTCCCATATCTAAAGCAAAATTGATTAAATATTGAAAAAATTGTGGCTAAAAAGTTAACTTGGTTAGCGAGTTGGTTAAAAAACTTAACTTGGTTAGCGAGCCATTCCACTTGTTTTTTTTCAGTAAAATAGACATAACTTGTCTCCAACTTATCGGATCGATAATTTCTGATCCTACCTCTTCAAGTAGATTCCCGACGATCCCGGATCCTATCTCCCCGATCCGACTAAAATCTGATCCTATTTTCGCAATTGTTTCAAGGGGTAACTTCATAGTTTTGGCCAAAAATCGAACTGTTAATATTTATTGTTATAATAATCAGACTTCTTATAATAGCTCTATTATTGGTTCACATTTTCTAGGATTTAGTAGCCCTTTGGAAATATATTATTTAACAATCATAATCTATCGATGGACTGTCAAAATTTGGCTCTCATCATTTCACAGATATTCCTATGACCCGTAACTTCGGCAAGTCATTGTAAAGGTCATGATTTCTGGTGGTGGCGCACCCTTTGTTGTGATGGCCTTATATTTATGGCGCTCAAAAAGCAATTAATTGTGACCCAAATCAACAGTTTCCGAATGGCTGGCAATATCAACACGGCAGCCCGATCTAATGGCCCGGCAAATGCCACCGATCTCCACGGACCAAGACGTAGGAATCGGTATGGATATATGTTGTGTAGTGTTTAGTATGTAGCTTGTGTGATGGGAATGGTAATGAGATCGAGATCGGAATGGCCTGGTATGCTGCATGAGTTATGGATGTCGCCCCCGACTGCTTCATTTCTATGCATAGAGTCGGTTCATCTGGCGTGTACTTTCCACGGAATCTTCCAGCCGAACGCCGATGAAATCAGCGCCAAAACCCAAAAAACACATATTAAACTAAGCCAAACCTGATAGTCTGCCAGCGGCTAGATCAGTGCTGAACCCTGCCCCAACCGGGGGTTAACATAAATATGGTAATAAGCCACTGCCACTGAGAATCTTCGAGCCAAGACACCCATTCCCCATTCCATGGACCATCCTCATGCGAGGCTGCGGGATTTATGGGTTCACCGAATGCTTTATGGCGTGTCGTTTTGACTAATTTATCTGCAAAAGGCGACGGCGCTGGCCACGAATTTTATTGTTAATTTATGATTAAGCTGATTATGCTTGAATCGGGCTTGTATCAATTTTTCCTTTTTTTTTTATTTTCGGCTCTCGATTTTTTGGTTAGATATTCAAAACAAAGGGAATGGGTGGACTCTATGAAAGTTGCTTCACTAATGTTTGCCAAACCCAAAAATAACTCACTAAAAATAAATAAATTGGGTATTTTTATGATAATTGCCGATCCATGGAATACAATATAAGCTTCTCCCAAATCATTCTCATTTATGCTGATTTCTTTTTAATTAAAACCGAAACCTCCACCAAATATCTGGCAACAAAGAAAGCATCTTGTAAAATAATCTTGCAGATATATTTCAATTATTGTTGTTGCTGGGCCCAAATGCTAATGAAAAATCTGTTTCGTTATTCTGAAAATGAGAACGAATGCGAAGAAATCTGTGGTCGGTTTAGTTTAAATGGGCCGTAAATGATAATTTTAATTTTTAATCAAACATATGCACTGCGAAAACTGCACCACCGCCGACGACTGGCATCCACCGCGGATTTTCAAGTCAAAGAGACCGCCGAAAAACATGTGAGCAGGCATCCTCTGAATCCGCGGATGGCACGCAAAACGCTGCACCGCTCGACGTAGCACATCTTGAGTTCTCGTCCCAGGGAGCATGATCTGCCACTGCCAACCGCCTCCGCATCCGCGCTATATGACTATGTGGCTGGCATTATACTTGGGTGTTCATGGCCACGAAATATTCGTGCATGGGATATAGATCTTGGGGCCTGGAGAAGAAATTTGTCTAGGTGCTGGATTTCAAGGCGCCAGTTTCTAGCAAAACTGTTTATAAAATAACAAAAAAAAATGTAATATATGGAAACACAAACAAAAGGCAAAATAAATATATCATCATCCAAACTGTACTTT